GTGAGAACCGAATTTTTAACCAACAAAACCTAAACATTTAAGGGCTGTGATGAACCATTGGGCGGAGGCCCGGTTCAATTTTGTGCAATGCTTTTAAATTTTTAATGGGAATGCAAAACTAATCCCGTACTTCCCGAATATGGATGGCGGGAAGGAGCAGAAATCTGCGCCTTTCACGCTTCGACTGAAATCCTTCCCTCCCATCCCACCCCTCTCATTCCAAAATTTGTTCCTCGCCGCAGAATTCATGCACTTCCTGCTCCAATCGCGTCTTTACGCGAACTCATCTATGGATTTTGTGCATAATCTTCATCCTCCGTAGTGCTAGCTTGTCTCGCCGCCTACTCCGCCGTTCACCAACTCGAAACTCGAAAGCCAGTTGCTGGTTCTATCTAATACCGGAAACGAGAAGTCGTTTCGGAAATTCATGCCGCCGGACTGTGAGGTCAGTCCTTCCTTAACCTCTGGTCTCCGATCTCCGATTACTTTCAAATAATGTTAATTAAGCTTCCCGTTCTTAGTCTATGATATGATTCCAGTCTCTTTCACATCGAAATTTTACCTCATATTCATGCATTTTGCTCATATTTTTGTTTTTGTTTTTATTGTTTTGGGGCTGGCTTCTGCAATTGGATACTAGTTTGTTTTTTGCATTTCAGTAAAGGTAGTGCTGCACCTTAGAGAGAATGTTTTTTGTTATTCAAATTTGAGTCCCCTGTTTTGCAGTCCGGACTGCCTATCAAACTGCAAAATGGGTGCATTGGAGGGGCAGAGGGTCCCAATATCAAGGGGTCCTCCCCCATCTAATGGTTAGTTTTGTGCAGTCCAGATTGTACAACATTGTATAGTTAATGTGTAAAATATGTACATTTGTTTCCATGCTTGCTTCAGTGCTTCGTTCCATGCCATGAGTTGGGCTATATATACTGATTTAGCTTAAGTTCTTATGGATGGTCATATCTGCCATGAATATAACTCATTGGTAGGTGGTACAATTTAATGTTTTTAATTCTTGCCTTTTCAAAATTTGTATTAATGATTATACATGTTGATATTGGCTCCTTGACTCTTATGCTATAGAATCTGATCATTTCCCTCTTTCTTTTCTTCTCTTGATGTTTTTTCCAGACAGAGGTCTGAAAGCTTAGTCATTCTTGGTTTCATTTTGTGCCTAATCTGATGGGATGGGGAAGCATTTACTATAGACGTCTAAAAGTATTCACAATGTTTGTAGTCATCTGTCTGGATTACAGAGTAAAAGTTCTTACATTGCTGCTTATATTCAAGACATACCATGTTGGAAAATTTTATCAACTCTTTTTTTCTTTTTCACTTTAAGGCTGTCCGCCAAAGGGTCAAGTGGACAAGCAAATCTAAGAGGGCTGCTCTATGGGGAGAGGCTCATAAGCGCAATGCCAAGCGTTTTGTCAGTTTGATGATTGACTTGAAAGGTGTATGGGTGAAACTTGGACAGCACTTATCCACCTGGGAACACATGCTTCCTAAACAATATATCCCCCTCCTCAGGAAGTTACAAGATTCCCTTCCTCCTCGTCCACTAAAAGAGGTGGCTCTCTTAAGTTTTATGTTTAAAGCTCTACTTAGATTTTCCTTTTTCACCCTAGCTATGGAAAAAAGAATGTGATTGAGTAGTTTAGATAATTTTTTCCTTGTGACTATTGCAAAGTTATAGAGATCCTAAGAACTATGAATTCTGTAATGCTGTTGAATGCCAGACAAATTGTGTTCTGCCAGCTAAGTTATGAACATTTTTATGTTTAATGAATTCTAATTTGTTTCAGTTTGAAGATTGGGTATTTTTATCAGGTTGATCTCATTTAAAGATATTATGCCACCATGACACTAGAGCAAGATGTCTCAAATCTTCATTAGTTCTATTTTATTAAGCTTGAGTGCCAAAGTGTGTGCTCAGTAAAATTTGTGTTGTGCTTGGAACTAATAGGCTTGTTAAAATTGAGTCTTATACCTGTAAGGCTTTTCGAAGTCATTTTAATGGCTTTTTTTTTTTTTTTTCCTTTTTTGTGGAGACCCTTTGAATCCCTATGTAAGTTACAGCATTACAAGCTTAGATTAATATTGCCTTTTTGCATTGAGGGAGAAAAACCTAGTCAAGTACGTGCCTGATCACCAATAGCTAGGAAAGTGCAGACATCAGATTTCCTCTTAAGGTTGGGTGAATAAGGTTTCATAAAAATTGGGTGGAAAGGAAGTTGGTGCTTAAGACTATTTTCAAAGGGCTGCATTAGTAAATCCCAATTACCTCTGAGGATCAAGTCAGTGTAAAGGTTCACTAGTTGTTAATACACATCCTTTGGATGAAAATATTAAAATCATTGAGGTTCTTGTTTATATGCATGTGTGTTTGGTGTTTGGTTAAGTGCTACCTTTTATTTCCACAGGTTTGCTGTACAATAAAGAAGGAAATGGGGAAAAATATAGATGATCTCTTCAAAGATTTTGTGAGAGATCCCTTGGCAACAGCGTCGGTAAGATCATTATGTTACAGTTAGCAGTAGGAATCTTATACAAGACTGCATTAGGAGCATTTCTTTGTTGTTTTATTTACCTATCGGAAGTATATCTAATCTCTTGATGGCATCTTTCTTTTAAGCAGATTGCACAAGTACACCGTGCAACATTGAATAATGGGCATGAGGTGGTTGTTAAGGTTCAGCATGAGGGCATCAAGGAAATCATATTGGAGGTTGATGCTTTTGCTTTTAAGGTTTATGGATGAAACGTAAGAGTTGCAGTCATTATATTGTTCTTGGGCATGCTGCTTATTTTGCAGGACTTAAAGAGTGCAAAGTCTATAGCAGAGTGGATAATGTGGCTGGAACCTAAGTTTAATTTGAAGCCCATCCTAGAGGAATGGTTTGTTGAACTTCCAAAAGAACTTGATTTCAACAATGAAGCTGGTATGGGCCTCTGCTTTAGTGTGATTTATTTTCTAGCATGTTTGTAATAAAAATTGGCTTAACTGATTTCCATTGGCCAAGTAGGATGTCTTTGAAAATAGAAAATTGTGCAACAAGAACACGTATCGCATGATTTATAACTGGAACAATCTGCATGACTACTTAAAATGCTTTAATAATAAGGTGGTGGAGGCTGTTAGTTGTATTTCTAAAACCATTAAAAGACAAATGCCATGTCACTGCTGCTTCTACAACTGCCACAAGTAATGCCATTGAGATAGGTGCTTCACTAACTGAGATTAGAATCACATATTGAGGTGGTATTAGGCTACGGGCATCATTATAGAAGTGCTCCAGCTCCTTCGCCTTTCTTTTTTCTCTCATCATTCTTATTGGAACTTGTTCATGCAGAGAATACTAGAAAAGTTTCTAGAAATCTTGGGTGCAAAAAATGTCCCAGGGATAACATGTCCTCCAATCAAGTGGATGTTCTAATTCCAGAAGTCATTCAGGTATTACTCTAGATTTTCAAAGTAACCCTTACAAAGAAATCTGTATTCCAGGTCGCATGTGATATTGTGATTTGGGTTGTTGTGGGATTTTCTCCTTTTAGGTAAAGAATTCTTTCATTGCCCTTTCAAGCTCACAATCCATGACAAAAATCAAATGCTGATGAGTAGTGTACAAAGAAAGTTAAGTGAAAGCAAATTGTTTTGATTTGCGTTTGTCACTATGTAGGAGTGATATTGAAGGCCTATATGTACTGTTTGAGGGAAAGACTTAGAATCATTTAAAAACATTGAAAGCATTAATTATCTGCCCTTATTTTTTGTGTTAGACATCATTGGAAAGGAACTGTGGTAACTTTGGACACTATTTATTTCTCTCTGTTTTGCGTATTTTGCCTAGAAGATCAACTAAGTGGGCTGATCTAGGGCTTTAAACCTTAGAATCACCAACATATAAGGTTCTCCCTAGATTGTTGTTGCGAGAAAGAAAACTGTGTGCTGTCATTTTGAAAATTTTCATGATAGATCTTTATGGAAGAGATGTCTGTTTGATTTTGTTTTACCTACTTTCATGATCTTCTGTTTGATTATTGCTGGAAATTTATTCTTTATACACTGGGTTACTATTGGCCCTTGAGTTTACGAGTGTCACTCCAGATCCTGTTGCTTCAAATGACAGTCAACCGAAAGAGTTCTCATTTTAGAGTATATGGATGGGATTCGTTTGAATGACTCTGCATCTCTAGAAGCTTTCGGTGTTGACAAGCAAAGAATTGTTGAAGAAATCACTCGTGCATATGCCCACCAAATATTCATTGATGGATTTTTTAATGGTGATCCTCATCCCGGTAGTCTCCTCCTCCACTGCTTTCTTTTCCTTGAGTATTTTTGACAATGGATTTGAATGCTTGAATTGCAGTGACAGTTTAAGCATTCCTCATCCAGAATCCTCTGCTTATGAAATTTAGTCTTTTAACTCTTCCAAATCTTTCTCGGTTGATTTATTGAAGGGAATTTCCTTGTGAGTAAGGAAGCTCCACACCGTCCAATTTTGCTTGACTTTGGATTTACAAAGAAAATATCGAGCTCTCGGAAAAAAGAACTAGCAAAACTGATATTGGAACCTTTCAAGGTTAGTGTAATTTTATTATTCTTTTTTCTGTTAAATCAGGCATTTCATCAGAACTGTATACAATTAGCTGGAGAATCATCTATTCTCACGGCTCAGCTTATTCATTTTGATTTGATTTTATAGGTATCTGAGTTTTATTGCTCTACCACAAAAGATTTCATTCCCACTTTTTTCAAAGTCTTTATTTCTTCTTTATTTTCAAACTTAAATTCATAGGTATGGTAACAAAAGAAGAAACACAATAACTGAATAGTATTATGTTCTTAACCAGTCGTTCGGACTCTTCATAGTTTTATCAGTTCATTTTAATTACCTGAATAACTAAAACTTCAGATGCAATTTAGGACTATATTGTCTAAAGTTTCACCATCATTATGCTTAAAATATAACAATACCATTTATTATTTTTCTTGAAAAGATGAAACTCAGTGAAAAAGATGTTAAGCTCTGTAATTTTCTAAGTCTATACCATCTATTTTCCAAATTCTCTCTGACATTTCTATTTAGTCTGTCTTTAACATTACAAGCAAATTTATTTCCAGTTTGATGCCATTCCTGCTGATATTACAATATTTGCACGGACTCTTGATCTTCTTCGAGGTCTGCAATGATAAAATCTTCTATTCTTTACTTTGTTCTGTTAAACATATTCTCCTGTTGATTCATTTTGTCACATTCGTTCAGGGCTCTCCCCATCGGATGGCTCAAAAGTATTGTTCAATATCCTGAGATCATTTGCTGAAGTTGTTTTAGTACGGTGAGTCTTTTTTGAACTTCTTTTCAATCATGGCTTTTCTCTTTTCCCTTTTTTTTTTTTCCACTCCATCTCTCAATGAACTGAGATTGTACTCCTCAGAAACATTGATAAGTCAATTGCAGCAAGTTCACAGTGGATCTACAACACACCAGTTCATTCTGATGTGGAGGCCAAGCTAAGGCAACTAATAGTTGGGCTTGGGGATAATGGAAAAATACTTGGAATGCAGGTTTGTGTGCTACCATGCCATTAGATGATATAGTGTTATGATCTGAAAAAGTCTCTAGTGCTTGGTTTAGTTCTTATTTTTATTTTGTCCTCCAAAGTCCATCTAATTTCACTAGCTCCCCAGTCAGTTGGAAATGGTTTTTCAAGAATGCATGAGAGACTTTAATTCTCTTCCCTTTAAAGTAATAATTTCTAATGAAGTATGTTGTGTTAATATTGTTTAAATTATTTAGATAGTTCTCAATCATGAAACCTCCCCATTTTTTGCACCCAGTTTTGCGATCTTACTGCATGCATCCTCATGGGTGCCTTGGAAAACAAAAGAAAACTGGCACTGTAGTTCCAATTAGGCTGCTGTGTTGCACCTTTAGCATTTTAAGGAGAAACTTTCTAGACACACCCTTTTGGGACTTGCTCTCTCAATACTTAATGGATGTGTTTTAGATCTTGAATTGTTGTCATTATAAAATGAAACACATTTATGAGGAGCATTGAAAATGACGGTACTTCCTGTTTCTTATAAGGGCATTTATTGAGACGAAAAAAATTGTTGTGAGCAATGTAACAAAAATCTATTAATTATCATAAATAACTTTTTTAAAAATTTTTTTTAATGCTTTGACTTGAAGAGAATGTCTGACATTAGTTGATTGTTGATTCACTGATATGAATGATGTCTTAAGGTATGCGCCTATAAAGATGGAGAAGTCATTATTGACACTGCTGCTGGAGTGCTTGGAAAGTACGATCCTTGTCCAGTTCAACCTGATAGTCTTTTCACTGTATTTTCTGTGACAAAGGGTTTTACGGCAGGAATGTTACATTGGCTGGTAGATAAGGGGTATGTAATGTGTGATAACTGCAAAGTTCAATGTTTTAATTTATTCACATTTGTTGTTGTGCAAAAAGAGAAGTATCTGAAATTATGTATAGTTCTTGTTCCTAGAACACAGGTTACATATACTTCAAACCAGAGGTCAAACTAGAAATTTATGTTCAGGGAGCCATGTCATAATATATGTAAAACTAGAAGTCACTTTTTAGTAGGAAGTAGCGAATCCATTCTAGCTAGGATCATCTAATATGCCACAATCTTAGAGGGGGTCTGGCCTCCCTCTACCTCCACCATCTACCCTTCCTTAGTTCCACATTCATTTCACCATTGCATAGAAAAAGTACTATTCTTTTTAACCATCATTGTCAAAAGTGAAAATGAGAAGTGGATTCTTTTCTGGATACACTGACATAAAAATGTTTAGAAGTTGCTTTAGGCTAGAGTTTAGAGAAAGCATATTCATGTGCTGTTTATTTTAGATTTTATAAGAAATTCAAAGAGACATGAGTATGATACACGGAAATGAGGGAAGATGATATTTCCAATTTAAATCAAGATGAACATGTGACTGAGATTCTCTAATAGTTTCTTTTTGATGGTATCATTTTGTCTTGCAGCAAACTTAAGCTGGAGGAAAATGTTGCAAATATTTGGCCGGAATTTGGAGAGAATGGGAAGGAGCTTTTGAAGGTAGTAATCCTGTGTCCAAAGCTGTGAAAATCTCCAACCACCATCTCCAAGTTTTGGAGCATTGCTGGATCATCATTTTTAGTCTTCTTACAGTTTTCGTTTTCAGGTTCATCACGTGCTTAATCATACATCTGGATTACACAATGCACTGCTTGACCTTATAAAAGAAAATCCTTTCCAACTGGCGAATTGGGAGGAATGTTTGAATAGGATTGCTATGTCTGTACCTGAGACTGAACCTGGCCTGAAGCAGTCCTATCATTATCTGTCTTTTGGCTGGATTTGTGGTGGAATAATAGAGGTACCAACGTGATGATCATGTTTGTAATCATACATTATAAATTTAATTTCTATTCTTTCTGGTTATCAAAGAAATATATATCGACCCATTTTCATTTGTCCCTGGACAAAACAGCATGCATCTGGAAAGAATTTCCAGGACGTTCTTGAAGAAGCATTCATTCGCCCTCTTAACATTGAAGGAGAGCTATATATTGGAATTCCTCCCGGTACACATCGGACTACACCGTTTTTATTTCAATACTTAATTAGGTACACAAGCTGCATACTCACAGATATAGAGGAGGAGGCCACCTTCCAATTTTGTTTTTTAACAAAATTGCAGTATTATTGTGTTACAATGGACTCAATTTGATTACCTGCATCAAGTTCCTTCATTTGTTCCTCAACAGGTGTGGAGTCCCGACTCGCTACACTTACACTCGATAAAGATGATCTCAACTTGCTCTCTGACATGGGTTCCAACAATGATCTTGAACTCCCTTCTACCTTCCAGCAGGAGGGCATTTTCCAATTTGCCAAAATTTTACCCTTTGTGTTTAACATGCCATATACTCGTTGTGCCATCATACCTGCGGCAAATGGGCACTGTTCAGCTCGTGCACTTGCACGCTACTATGCAGCCTTGGTTGATGGTGGTGTGGTCCCACCCCCGCATTCCTCTCTTTCCAAACCACTACTTGGAAGCCATCCCCACATCCCCAAAGTTGTGTCCGAGGCTGAGGTGGTGGAAAATAAGCCAAATGACAATGGAAGTAACGGGGTAGTTGTCAACGATGCTTGCAGCAGCAGCAGCTGTAGTAAAAATAAAAGTGACAGCATTACAATTACAGTTGATTGTGATTCTCACAAGGACATTCATGGAAAGATTTTCAGCAACAGTAAGATTCATGATCAATTGCTAGGTGTAGGTGAATGTGGCAATTTGGTCTTTCCAAATGGGCTGTTTGGACTAGGATTTCACAGGTTTGTATCTGAGGACGGGTCATTCACCGGGTTTGGACACTCCGGCATGGGTGGATCAACCGGTTTCTGTGATATTAAAAACAGGTTTGCTATTGCTGTCACCCTGAACCAGTTATCATTTGGGGGCGTGACTAAAAAGATTGTTCAGCTTGTTTGTTCCGAATTAAATATCCCATTGCCCAAGGAGTTTGCAGGATCAAGTGAGAATGGTGAACGGGATAGCCCTCTTATTAACTAAAGAGGTGACCGATACTTCAGTTTTAGGCTTTTCACATTATTACCTGTGTGAATGTCAAAAGAATTTTTTCCTCTTTCTTTGCAAATTTTAGTTTAGTCCTCCTGTGGCCGTGGAGATAGAAGTATTGAGAGGGCAGTATGCATGGGCAGATATGATATTTGCTCATTAACCGTTTGTGCCATGTCATTAATTTCTGTTACAAAACTTATTTTTAATTTAATCTGTAAATGCTTCATTTCACAAACCAATTAAGGAAAAAAAACGTTGTTACCATGCATTGTATCAATACAATTTTCTTTTTTATTTTATTTTAAACTAAAAAGTATTTGACTACACTCGAGCTTTGTGGCTCAATTACGCTACATTTATAATAAAGTGTATCTCTTCAATTCTAAGGTTGAGGTTTAAATCTTTACTCTTAAATTATAAACTGTTCAAATAAAAAAAAAAAAAA